TCAGTGCCCCTGCTTTTCTGTTGCTTTTTCCTGATAATTTGTCTTTATTTTCGTTGTAATTCCACTTTGGTCCTGGGAGATGGTCTGTGTAGCTTCCATTCACTCCGCCACCATTGTGGAATCCCCACAGATACCCATTTTGAAGATAAGGAATATAAGGCTTAGAACATTTATGTATGTCTCCAAATCATGTGGTAAGTTAGTATCAGAATGAGATTGGAGCTTCTAAAGCTTATACCCCGAGAAAGACAGAACATATTAAATTATTACAACAATCTTGCTAGGAAGTGAAATAGCGTCACTAAAAAAAAAAAAAAATTATAAAATGACTTTCAATAGTTAACCTACTTTGTACAACAACTTATAAAAGATATTGTTGATAAGATGAAGCATTCTTTAGAAACTACAAAGATAATAAAGAGAGTGTTAAGGAAAGATGGGAGGGTGTCAGAGAGAGAACGCACATCATTTTGTTTTGGTAAATAAGTAATTATAAACAAGGTTATATATAATTATAAATTAAAATTGCACATATGTAAATCTGTAGGAATCGAAATCAAACTTGAAGTTATTGGTAATTGTGGTTATGTAAAGATATTGACATTGAGATTTGGGTGATTTTCCCCCTTTTTCATTTTGTTTATTAATAGTTTCTAATTTCCTATAGTAAAACTTAGATGACTTATGTAAATAAACAAAAGCAAGATTTAAGATAAAAGAAGTAGTATGGTGCTTAAGAGGAGGAACTCTGGAGTCAGATAAACCCAGGTGACAGGTGACCTTAGATAAACCCCTTAAACTTCTTAACTTTGGTTTCCTCATCTGTAAAATGATGATGATGATGGTAATGCCTACCTCAGTAGGTTTTTGTGCAGATTACATTAGATAATTATGTAATTTACAGTGTGTACTTATCAATCAATCAATCAATCAATCAAGTAATTACAAAGTTCCTACTCCTATATTACAGGGCAGTGCCCAGTACAAGGCCCCTAACTGCCCAAATAGACAGATATCACTAACTCCAATGAGAACATGGCAACCAAGGCATTCATAGTTCTGTGACATGCCAGGGAATCCCAAACTATACATTTTAAAGGTACTAAATGTCTATTTAACTAATTTATTCCTTTAAAAAAAGTTAATCTAGCTCGGGCGGTGTGGCTCAGTGGTTGAGTTGTCAACCCATGCACCAAGAGGTCGCTGGTTCGATTCCTGGTTGGGGCACATGCCCAGGTTGTGGGCCAGATCCCCAGTGTGGGGGGCATGCAGGTGGGGGCATGCAGGAGGCAGCCAGTCAATGTTCTCTCTCATTGATGTTTCTATCTCTCTTTCCCTCTCCCTTCCTCTCTCTAAAAATCAATAAAGAAAAAAAATTTTTTTTAAAGTTAATGTAAATGGGTAAATTTCATGGCATGTGAGTATATCTCAATTAAGATGTTAAAAATGACAATTATTTTGCCCTGGCCAGTTTGGCTCAGCGGTTAGAGCGTCGGCCTGCGGTCCGGAAAGACCCGGGTTCGGTTCCCGCTAAGGGCACGTACTTCAGTTGCAGTTTGTCCCCGGCCCTGGTTGGTCGTGCGGGTAGCAGCCACTCGATGTGTCCCTTCACATCGATGTTTCTCTCTCTCTCTCTCTCCTTCCCACTCTATCTGTACAAAAAAAAAAAATGGAAAAATATCCTCGGGTGAGGATAAAAAAAAAAAAAAAAAAAAATGACAATTATTTTAATATGTGTTATTTATCTGAAAGAAATCGTCTTAAGAGTATTTTAATACAAAATATACTGATACAGTACAAAACTTAACATTGCATAGGAAATTATCTAAACTAGCTGATTTGAATTATATGAAGTTGAATCTGGTTCATAAAGTTATTGAATTGCTTGGAGACTCATTTTTAGTGTGTGATTAATAAAATGATGCCCACATAGGATTTGCAAATGTTAAATACTATGACTAAAATAATGAATTCCTTAATTTTTTTCTGTAAACCGATTGGGAAAAAGTGCTTTATTTGTTTGGGTGAAAAAAAGAGAACAGAAATTTTTTCTTAATGATGTTCAAGGTCCAATTAAGATTTCTCTAAAAAAATTGCTTCCTTGACCACTCTTGTCCTGATTGATAATAATAGTTCTGGCTTCCATGTACTGAACACTGTGTTCCCAAGATTATGATACGTGTCTCACAGACCTGATCGACTTTAATTTTGACAACAGCCCATGAGGTGTTACTGGCTCCATATAACAGGTAAGGAGACAGGTGAGGGAGGTAAGTTGAGCAACATGACCAGGTCCACTGGCTATTAAACTATCAGCTTAGGATTTGAAGCAGAAACTATTGAGTTACAAAGCTTGTTAATACTACACCATACAGATCCTTCCTTGTACCTGTTCCATCTGCTACTGCTGCAAATGAGCAATGAATGACAGATCAGAATAAATCAGTCTTTTCTCAGAGTGTTCCCAAACAAAAGATGACAAGCTAAAACTATATTCTGGCAGAAGACCCAAATTGGTTTCCTTTAATAATAACAGTATTCTGAGACACAATTATAGCAATTTGGATAATTAAAGGAAACTACTCTGAGAAGATGTGCTTAATTGTAGGAGCCAATATTGAGAAAAAAATTGAACACTGAATATGTAGTTATCTGAAAATGCTCTTTAGTCATTGATGTGACAGCTTTTATTGAGTCCAGATTCTTATATTTTATATTTCATTCATTCACTTATTCAGTGGTTATCTACTGAGTACCTACTATGTGCCAGCTCACTGTACTAGGCACTTAAGATACAGCAGAGAACATAATGAATAAAAATCCTTGCACTTAAAGAAAAATAAATAAATAAAAAGAAAACAATTAAAAAAACAACAACAACAACCCAAGAGGCAATGTCAACAAAGAAAATCCCTGACCTTATGGAGTTTCCATCTCAATGGAGAGAGACAGAGAAATATATGCCAGATGATACTAAGTGATATGAATAGATATAGGAAGGGCAAGGAGCAGAGAGAGACCATGTGTGTTTGAATGGGGACAGGGGGATCGTCAAAAAAATCCTCTGTGAGGTGTTAGCATTTAAGTGGAGATTTAAATGAAGTGAGAGACTTAGAGATTGAATCATGTGAATATCTGAGGGAAGTTTCCTAGGCAAAGGTAGAGCATGTGCAAAGGCCCTGAGCTTGGTGTAGTTCTAGCAGAGCCAAAAGGCCACTGGGGCTGGAACAGAGAGGAAGGTAAGAGTTGTCATAGATGAGGGCAGAGAAGAATTCAGGTCTAGTATCAGTGATAGACTTTGTGGCTTTTTCTCTGAAGAAAGGAGAACAGTTAGGAGGCTATTATAATTATCCAGGTGAGAAATGATGGGGGTGATAACAGTAGAGGGGATGAAAAATGATTGGACATTGAAAATATTTTGAAAGTACAGTTGACCCTAGAACAACACAGGGGATTAGGGGCAATTAAACCTTCATGTATGACTTAAAAAAAAAAAAATCCACACCAAAGAATATTTTTCCATTTATCTTCAGATCAAGTGGGAGGGAGGGAGAGAAAGAGAGAAAAAGAGAAAGAGAAAGAGAAACATTGATGTTAGAGAGACACATTGATTGGTTGCCTCCCACACGACCCCGACCAGGGCTGGGGATTGAACTGCAATGGAGGTCTGTGCCCTTGACCACAATCGAACCTGTGACTCTTTGGTCCTCAGGCTGAAACACCAACTGCTGAGCCAAACCAGCCAGGACCTGGTAGGACTTTTGACTCCCTAAATGATCAGTATCCACTGGGGAATACCGAAGTCTGACTGTAGAGTTATTGAGAAGCATCTGCATGTAAGTGGACCTGTGGAGTTCAAACCCATGTTTAAGGGTCAAGTGTGGAATTGAGAGGGTTTATGGATGAATTGGAACATAGGGTCTGAGAGATTGGGTGTGAAGTGTGAGAAATCTTTGTGTTAAAATCCTAGTGAATTAACTTTGGAGAGAAGAGCCTTCAAAGTCTTTCTCGGGCCTGGTTCTTGTGTGTGCAGACCACTTGGCCTTGAAGGTTAAGTCAACAGGAGTCATTAAAACTCTAACTACTAAGAATAGGAAGAAAAGATCGGTGACCCTTCTGCCCAAGCTGGTTCTTACTTGGGAGAGGCTGCCAAGCTAAATAGTGGCTGTGGGAAAAGAACAGATGCCCTTTCTAATGAGCTATTTGCACTTTGCCAAGGAGAGGAACTGAACCTAAAGGTGTAAGAACAGACGGACTGATCAAGTCTTAAGACGTGTCAGCGCTGGGAGCACATTGTGGAACCCGGCCCTGGATTTCCCCTCCGTTTTTCAGTTTCTCTCTCTTTTTCCTTCATTCCCCACTCCTTCCTTGCCTGCAGGAAGGTAGTTTACCCTGGTTCTCAGATTTCAGCAGGTGTCAGAATTACCTGGAGTGCCTGTGAAAACACAGATTGCTGGGCCCCACTCCCAGAGTCTCTAACTGGGGCGCTGCGTGTGCACAGACGAGGCACAGAGCGAGGGAGTGGAGACGCTGCCTTTCCAACAAGTCCTTAGGCGATGCTGGAGAAGATTCTTGCTTCTTGTACCAGAGGGCGTGCAGAACACTGAGATCTAGAACTCCGCCTGGTGGAATGTGAGTGGGGAAGGTTCCAGCTCACAGATGTTTCCAGTCACCATGGAAACGGTCCACTGACCGCAAGGTGTTTCCGGGCCGCCCCGACCGGACCGCGGAGCAGCAGCTGAAGCCGCGAAGAGAAGGAGCGAGAAGTCCTTCCAGACCAGACATCGCCATCGCTGTGGAGTTGGGCAGAGGCGAGGGCGGGAAGACAGCCCGGGACCAGCCCACAGCTCCTAGGAGGGCGCGGACCTGGAGGCGGCGTCCCAGAAGGCGGCGCCTCTCGGAGGAAGTTGGCCCCTGCGCTGCAGAGCCCCGCTGCCCGTCGCATCAGCCTCCAGGAGCCAGCGCGGTGCCCACCGACGCCGTCAGTGCCGCCCCGGGTGTGGGTCGGGCCGCCTCCGCGCTCAGCACCCGCGCGCCCCGCAGCCATGGGCGCCTCGGCCTCCAGCCAGCTGGACGAGGGCAAGTGCGCCTACATCCGAGGTACGCCTCCCGGGGACCCTCTGGCCAGACTGGCTGCCCGGGCACTGGCCCCGGAGGGGGCGTCCCCCTTCCACGCCCCGTTCTCCCCCTGCGGGCGCGGGGGGTCCCCAGGTTCCACCCAGCGCGGTGCAGCTGGCGGGCACGCTCGGCAGGTGGGGCTGCGGTGGATGCTCGGGGAGCGCCGCGGGGGGCCTGGGGCACGCAGGTGCAGGCCGCCGGGTGGGGCACGACCTCCTTCCTCCGGGCGCTCACCTGGGGTCTGGTCTGCCCTCCGCCAGACACACCTGGCCCCCTGGGCCCCGGCTCGGTTGTTCTGAGCTCTCTCTGAACTTGCCACACCAACCGCGGGGATATCCCTGTTGTCTAGAGATTTCCCTGGGGATTCCCGGCCTGTCAAGCAGAATTTCCCTCCTGGTCATGCTGGCTGGGTTTTCTGAAACACGGCCTTGGCCAGAGCTTCACTTGAACTTCAGAGAGTCACTTGGGGGATGATTTCATGAGAGGCAGAAAGGACAATGTCATTATGGTCCCAGGTTGTATGTAGGGTTCCCTTCCCTCCCCGGAGAATGGAGAACGAGGGAAGCAAAAGAGGAACACTTAACATATTTTGTAACTGTTGCTAAAGTCATCGAGAGGGAGAAACTCATTTTGCGAGGCTTTCAGAGACGTGGTGACTCAGAAAAGAGTGTGAGGCAGAAGAAAGAAACCAAACTGAAGTGAAACTGCAGGAAATCATGACTCTTTATCGCCTGGGTGTACTTGGCCTCTCTGTCTTCCCTCCTCACAATCTTGCCCACAACCACTATGTAACATTTGGTTATCTTGTGAATTTAGTGTTTCTCTGGCTTTAGAAATACCTCCTAAAGTACACATGAAACTGGCTTGAAACCTTACTTCTGTAAAGAAATGGCTACATTCTTCCTGATACCTCCCTCTGGCCCCCGAATCTTTTTCTAAGAAGAAAGCATTTATTTCGCGTTCTTACTCCGTATTTGTTTTTAGCCACCACCACACTTCAACCCATTTGAAAAGGGTATCAGTTTGGGGCACTTGAGCTGCAGTGTGATGCCAACCTTAGTCTTGCATACTTGACTATAGACTTGTTTTCACCAGTGTGCAGGGGACCGAAAGAACAATGTAGTAGAACATAGTGGGAAGGGATTTGCATTGAGTTATTAGCAAAACACATTTATGACACTTTATCTCACTGAAAAGCTGAAGAACACCTGAAGTGGAAGCCCACCATCTACAGTAACCACTGGAAGTCCAGCAATGAGAGGGATTAACCTGCTTGAAGACCTCATGGTCATGGCTATTGTTGATGCAGACACTGTACTCACATGATAAGATAATGTGTTACCTTTTTTTTATTCGGAAATTAGATTATTCCACATGAGTAGTATGAGACAGCTAGTGCCCAGGAAGGACTTGTGTGGCAGTCACTATATTCTCTAGTCTTGTTCAATGTGATCTCCTCGTTCTTTGTTTGGGAGGGCACTTTGAAGTTATGTAGGGACAGAGGGAAGAGAAGAGTTAACATTAGAATACCTCCAGAGAAAATGAGACGTTGCCTCATTTGAGCATACAAGTCTTGCCAAAGAAGAAAAGTACGTTGGAAAAATGCATGGTGTTGTGAATTGCTAGTGCATGAGCAAATGAAAGTCACGGGACTGTGATTTTCTGATGGCTTTGAAGCCCCAGATCCCTGGGGGAAAAATACCCAAAAAAAACCACCCATAACCCTATCTTCACCCCTTCGCCCATCCTTGAGCCCATATATTTCTCAAGCTATGACTTAATTGTAAGCAGAATGATTGGAAGTATGACAGTAAAGTTTAAATACAATTTTATGACCCATTTCTCATAAAGTAGCTGCCAGTGAAATATGGATTTGAAAGCCCCTGTAGCTGAGACAATACGTTTCTTTCAAGCTTGATAAACTTGCTAACATATGGAGAAGAACTAGTCAGTATATCTGGAGTGAGTTTTGTTAACTTAATCTTGTATGTGTTAGAAGCAGCTGTCTGAATCAGCATTTACTTTTAGGTGAATCATTTAACAGCTGCCATTTGGTTTGTGTGCCTCAAAACTTTGTGTGAATAGAGATCTTTGTCACATGGATGTTTTGAAAGTACGTTATTTCTTAGGATTTAGTAAATCTCTAGGTAAATGGGTATCAGAAGTGTTAAGGACTTGCTTCATTTCTAAAGGTGTTAGCTTTGAAAATTACTTCCACACTCATGTTTCTTACAGCAAAATAAATTTTTAGGATTGTTTCTAGAAGACTTGCAGTAATCTCCCTTGATAAGATCTTTTTATAAACAAATAAGTGACCGACTTGTAATCCCATGGGCAGTGCCATCTGTTAGCTTTCAGGGGTGACCTAACAGGGTTTCCCTTTAATGAGAAAGAAAGCTCGTGTAATCTAAGTAGCAGTGGCCAGTTTAGGACACGTTTCTCTTTTTACGCCTTGTTTCTTTTTTCCTTTTAAACTTTTGGTATGCCTAAAAGTGAACTATAGCTTCAAAAACACAATGTTTTCCTGTTTAAGCAATCCTTTTTTTTTTTTTTTCCCTTTAAAATTTACCATTGAATTGTTCATCGAATGAAAACTCTTCCACGTAAGTCCTATGGAGGGTCAGAAAGTCTTGGAAAAGCAGGACTGCCGCTGAGAACTGGGGGAGACCCAGGTCCTTGGTGGGGGCTGATGGTCACTTCGAGGCCTGGTAGCTGCAAATAGCAGTTCAGAAAACTGAAAACTGACCTTGTCTGAGGCTTACTATTGCACAGTCAGTAACACTTAACCTCTAAAGGCTTCCTCTGAAATGCTCATCGGTGATCTGATGCTTTAAAGTAAGAAATGAGTCTCAGCTTAAAAACAACATGTATTTTTCTCAGGGTTTTTTTTTTTTTTCTTCAGATTTATACTGTAAGGGTTAACTTAGCTGGCTGTATAAGAAACTTATGTGGATAACAGTATCTGGAGAGAAGTCCTCACAGGCCAGGTGAGTGAAAGGTAGGAGAGCTGTCCGCATTTGCAGGCTTCTCAAATCTAGAACCAGTCCACAGAATTGCTTCTTCTTCAGTCATGATTTGTCGGTAGGGGATGGGCATAGACCTGGTCTGATCTATCCGGATAATTATGACAAGGTTATCTTAGAGTCCAATTTATCTGGCTAGTAATGGCAGTTGGAAATGGGTAAAGATTATACCATTAGTATTTGTCTCAGTTCCTAGTTTGTAGACATGAGGAACTGTAGCTCCCCGGATGGGAATAGCAAGGATGGAAGAAAGGAGAGGACCCACTATAAAAAATACACAAATGTATATTGATCACATTATATTTTGATAAAAAAAAAAAAACGCCTCCAAGCATGTCAAATCACCAAAGAAGCTAGTAGGAGTTTTAAATTAGAAAAACGATGGCAGATTGGGAATTTCTAATGGCAGTAATTTCAACCACCTTCAGTTTTTGTGAACTAAGACTTTGGAAATTTAGTGTGAATTGAGAGTTTCTTAGATTCAGCAGAAATAAAGACATGAAACTGAAGCAAATTAACATTTTTTTCTTTACTTGTGGAAGAAACAGTGACCTTCCTTCTTGGGTGCCTATTCATGCTTTGATGAGCTCCTAGAGTCAGATGCTAAATTCAGATCTGCTCTTGATGAAACCCTTCTTTTCTCATTGGCTGCAAGAGGACCACCTCATCAAGGCTGCTTTGGAAACAGTCCTAACATGGCAATCGTGATTCTAATGTTGGTCATTTGTCAGTGTACTTTTGCTGTGGACTACCGCACTGATTGTAGTTTTTACTCTATTGTGATCCTAAGGATGGTCTGAACCGGGGTCCTAGGTAAAATAATGCCACAGTAGAAGCTCCCTCTGTAACAGTAGTTTCTAATATAACTAAAATGAATTGTACAAGTTTTTACAAAATAACGCAGCATGAATTGTGAATTTTAATCTCCTAATCGGACATTTTAATTTTTTTTTGGTTAGTGAAGCTAGGTGATATCGTTTAAAGAAAAAAGGTACATAAAATTTGCATTGTGAAATGAGAAAGGTCAGAAGTGAAGATTAAAGAATAATGGAAAGGAAGACAAAAGAGTAAAAGCATATAATTCATCTGCTACAGTCTGTTTAAAGCACTTTAGTAAAACTTAGGACTTGAAGGTTGAAATTCTAACAGTTGCAAACTAAAGTGTACACACACACACACACACACACACACAGCCCACCACCACCACCAAACACAACTCCAAATGCAATACAGATTTTTTTCCTTTGAAATTGAAAATTCATTTTAAAAAGAGACTAGCAAGTTGTTGCCAATAAGAAATTGCAAGCCAGCTTATAAAAGTGCCCCCTTTTTGGGTACTACATGTTTTTTCTCACTTAGAGGAGAGAGAGAGGGAGAAAGATTTAGAAATGTGAAAGCAATTAATTCAGTTTTGCAAATTGCAAGGTCTAGGACTCCCCAAAGTTTATGTTTTTATGCTTGATGATGTTTGGATGTTGATGTCTGTAGGACTCAAATAAACTAATAGTTTTTATGAGGAGCCCTGAAGTGATTTAGAAAAAGTCCATAGTCTGAAGGAATTTTGGAAGAAGAGTAAATGTCTCTATGCCAAACCACATGAATATTTTTTTCTTTTCTTTTCTTTTTTTTTAAGAAACCATACTTTTTGTTTTCAAGTCAAATATAGGTTTGAAAAACCACACAAAACAAATGCACAGCCCAGTGAATCATCATAAGGCCAATATCCTTGTAGCCATCACCCAGGTCAAGAAATGGAAAGAAGTTCACTAGCTATCCCAGAAGCCTTCAGGTGCTCCTTCCTGATCCTAGGCCTTTTTGTCTCTCCTCAAATAACCACTGTTTCCAGTTATCTGCTGCTTCCCAACAAGCTCCCCCAAAAGATACCAGCTCTTAGAAACAACCATTTATTTGCTCACAAGTCTGCGATCTGCCCTAGGTTTAGCTGTGCAGTTTTACATC